CGTCCGTTGAGCTTGAAGCTCAAAGGCTTGCTCAGGGAAACCTTGGGAAGCTTGAAGCTTGGATCGAGGCTCTTTCCCTTCCAACTCCACATTGAAGCTTCCTCCATTTCCTTTACCCTTTCTTTCCTCTTTCTCCTCCTCGTTTTTCTCGTGTCCTTTTTCCTTTTCTTCCTTTCAACGACGACAGCTGACCTTGGACTTTTTGGGTGGTGAGGTGTGTTAGGAATTTGCTTTTGCCCACGTGTGTGTTTGCAACCTTTGCTCCTCAAGTCGTGTTTCCTTCTTCCCAGGATTTCCCAGGTCTCCGTTCCTCTTCTTTGTCCTCTTCTTCCCGTCGTCTCTGTCTCTCCAAATCTCGTACGTGATCTTCAAGATTACGAATACTCCTCCAGATTACTGGCCCGTCTTCCTCAACGAAAGCTTGTGAACCCATCAGATATCCAATTGAGCGAAGATTACGGCAAAGCCCACAGAAGACGGGCCCACCGGCAAAATCTGACCTCAGCCCAATACGCCGCTTACGACAGATGTGGCAGGACGAATCTCCCATTACACAGGGATCAAATTCTGGTCCCGTAAGCCCAACTGCAGCGGGTCAATTCCTGAGTCACGTGAAGGTAGGATCAGCCAGTAACCGTGGTGGAGTCTTCCTCGCAACCCTGGGAGATTGTGGAGGTACCGAGTTTTGACGGATACGATTGAGCAACATAGTGGGCTGGTTGTTAAAACTCATACACCAGTTACGGGCTGCTCTTGACGCCGAGGTCGTCCGGCCTCAGTGTAAGCCGACCACCACCTGAGTAGGTCAATAAGGCGTATATACTGAGGGCTGATGTGCAAGACCATGTCGGGTGCGATGTTGGCACATATCAGAGTCAAGTGAATAACTTCAGGCGTCGTGTGCTGCCCATCTGTGGGCGCGAACCAGAGATTGCCTAGGTGCCTTGAAAGGACGTTGGCTTCATAGATGAAGAGAATACTAATGGGACCTCAAGTTAGTATGGTCCGGGAGGTCCGGATCTAGAAGTGCTAGCTGGACTGTGTTGCAGTTGTTTCGGTGGTTTTCTTGAAAAACCAAGGCGAAACACGGGCCATTACGGGCCTTGGACCACATCTTGTAAGATGCTTCATGGAACCAGCCGTGCCGAATGATCGGTATTATCGGTGCTGGATCAGCGGCGTGCATGACGAAGACCGATTCTTCTTGAGAGAGGTAATCTTCCATGCCGGCTGTTGAATCTCCTTGCAACAAAGGCCTCATTTTCGTCCATCATCCAAAAGATGGTTTCACATTTGAGGGCGAAGAAGCCTTCTTCGAAGGTGTCCTCGTCTTGGAGCCAAACGCCATCTGCTCCATCATATTCTCCCTGGTCAAGGATGAGAAAATTACGGCCACCGCGCCTACGGCGCTGATCTCTTCTTCCATGGCGATCCTTCTTGTGAGAAGAATGCCACATGTTGGGATCCTGCAGACCAATTCTCGTTGTCGCAAGTTGGTCAAACATGGTCTGCCGTACTGTCATGTACGAATAGGTTTCAATTCTTGATTGGTCAAGGCTGAGACCAATCTTTCTCGTTGGCTTTCTGACAGCACCAGGAAAAGAAAAGCTAGGAGATTATCACTCAATGGCAATGATCTGCGATGAGTATCCGCTCGTTCTTGGTTGCACAAAGAAAACTGTGTTGTCGCATGAGCTGCTTGCTCGACCGGATCACGTAGTGGCGTGAATGTTGGATTTCGTCCCAAGGCAGCGAGAAACTCTTAGTTGTCATCGTCCATAGCTACGTCTGTAAGAGGTCCATCCACGAGTTACGAAGTCGCTGAAGGACGATTTCGAACTTGGCAACCAAGTCACGAAATCTTGGTTGCCCTTCCACGCCTTGAACAGGCCGAGGAATCGCCAAAGGAAGACATACTGTTCTCCCTTGACGCAAACGGACGCATCTTCTTCTTGAACTATTCTTCTCCACATTTGGAAGCAAGCTTCTTTCTATCTAAAGCTTCTTTTTGTACCGACGCGATTCCGGAGAGTCGGGTCCTGAGTGACGGACCTCTCTTGTCATCATCCAGCGTTGTTGTGTCGCACCAGTCATCAATCAACTGCTCACACTCAAACCACGAAGCGGTGCCATCATAGGCTGGCGCAATCTTGGGCGTAATGCCTAGTTGGCTGATTGTGCTACATATGACGCTGGCCCTTGAGAGGGTTCGTCCTCAGAGTATCCTCCGGAAGAGTTGTTACTGCCGTCGACTCCACTGCTGCGGGAGGATGCAATTGTACAACCTCGGTCCGCCGTGGGACGGTATAACGTTCCCAGATATGTATCTCTCACTCCTGTGGGAGTATCTGGGTTCAGTATAGGCCCTTAAACCTAATGACTTGCCCTTGCACGGACAGCAAGCTGTTTTCACTGCTACGAGTACGCAAAGAGAGCTACGGTGTCTTGAACCACTTGAGACATAATGGGCAACCGTATATATACATGTGGGTAATGCTGTAAGTACCTACCATACCGCCTGAGCGCGTATAGGATTTTAGGTTTCACCCCCGCGCCCACTTCTGCATCCGTTCTGCTCTTTCACATTACAGAAGCAAGGATGAGTTCTGTCACAGTGCTGGTCTCCGGCAAGCCGAGGCGGGGGGGGGGGGGGGGGGTTAACATTATTTTTGAAGGCGCATATTTCATGAGACCCTGAATCGTCAAGTCTCTCAGCCAACAACATTAAAATATCGAACTGGAGCTTACCAGAAGTCTGTGTTTTTCTTCCACAATAGACGTCCCAGCAAGAGTCAAGTACGGCGTGAGTTGAGTTGTTGTGTCCGTTTATGTTTCAGCGACCACGACAGGGGTTGAGGACAAGCAGGTTGCGTGCATTCGCAAGTCTTCCGACATGCCTTGCGCAGGTACAGTACACCGACCTTGTCAAGAAATGCTGAGTGAAGATGAGGCACGCGGCGAAAGGTCAGAAAGTCCGACAAGCTTCCCAGACTTGTATGCCCTTGTGCGGGCTTGATCCATCAGTGCTTGGAAGCTGCGCCATGAGAAACGCACTCCGTAATCGGACAGAACAAGGCAGGCCGTTTCAATTCCGAGCCCAGCCCAGACTTGGAAGAATAGAAGCAGAAAGCTCGGCGAGTTTGGCGAACGTGGCGCAGGCAGTCGAAGGCTCCGGGAGCGAGCCGAAGCTCTGCAGCGCCCGGGCAGAGGTCGGTAAGGCCATGGGCCGAGCTTCGGTCTAAAGTGTTGGCTTGCCCCTCCTCAGTGTGGACCGTCTGGATCATGGACTGCCTGCGGACAGATCTGCATCGACCGAGGATCGTCCCACCGCCCTGTCCAGCTTCAGGCAGCATTGATCGGCCCATGGGCCTCACAAAAACACGGATGCTGAAAGAGATAGGCTCAAAGCTAGCCAGGAGGTGGCGGCGACTGTAGGTTTGCTGCCCATCCCGGCAGAGGACAAGCTGCAGTACTGCCGAGCTGAGGCCGCCAGCAAATGCCTATGGCTGGATAGCGAGGCTACCCACCCTTCAGGACACGCATGGTTTTGCGGCTACTGTGTGGCGCGCCATGGGCACCGCTACGGGGGCCAGGAAGTGGTCTCGCGCGGCTGTGTATGGTGGAACGACGCATTTGGATTGCATCTTTGGAAGCAAACTGGCTTGCAACGCGCAGAGATGGATGAGCGATCCAGCTGCGTCGCCCCCGTGGCATTGGCATGGTGGATACGGTACTGTCGCTTACGCCTTGAGGAAGTGGCTCCGTAACAGAGGATGGACAGAAGAAGGACCTTGGTCCTGGACGCGCTCTTCGGGACCTTTGAGGCTGGGACGTGGCAATTCTGTTGAGCGAGTTGCACGTGCGGCTAGGTGCGATTGGAGAGAATGGGCCTTCCAAAAGGTCATCGGCACGAACAGGCATGATGTCAAAGAGTTAGGCACCCATCCTAGTGAGGTGCACAGATCGGCGTTGAGCTACCGCTTCTGTCAGGTCGGTGTAAGCGCCAGCTGGTCTGGAGTTTAGGCAAACGGACCTCAGACGCATGCGGCATTGGATGCGTCAGAACCCTCTCAGGGCGACTGTAGTCTTGGGCTCACGGGTGTCGCCTGCCATGCACGATCGCATGCATGGCCAACAAGTGCAATCAGCACAGTGCCCAAGGTGCCAGGCCGCCGCGGCCAGTTGGGACCGCATCACAATGTGCTGGACATGTTCAGGTCGCTCGGCGGAAGCGCCATCAGTGCCCCGACGGCGCCTGCAAAGACGGTTTGGCTGGCCACAGGTTAGTGCCGGTGCTTTATGGTGATAAGGTCATTGCATGGATGCCTCAAGTGCAGACACATGTTTGGACTCTCAGGTTTACCACGCGACCAAGCTACATGGTGCAGTGAGTGTAGTGGTGCTCAGCGTGTGGTCCTCTTGGGCCTTTGCAGTGTTGAAGCGGCGTGTCTACCCGTTTTGCTTGATTTTTCGCTGATTAAGGTTGCCTTTCCTCTGGCCCTTGGGTTCTAGTTCCCGTTCCCTTTTGTAATTGTTTCTGCTGGAGCGCCTCCAGCTCAAGCAGTATGGCAAATCGCGCAATGTCGCGCCTCTGGCTGCCGTTGGTTGCTTCTTGCTTGGGCCTACGGTTTAGTTCCTGTCCCCCCCTGAGTTGTCCTTCTTCTCGTAGGCGCCTTAGGGGTTTAGTTTCTTGTTGACCCTTTGGAGACTCTCCAGAAGCGGTGCTGCAGCAATCGGTGGGCTGCTAGCATCCACAATATATCTACATTGATCGGTCGGCTTCCTAAGAGGGCACCCGCTTGGCGGCCGGTGCAGGAGAAGCAGTGGACCCTCGGTCGGCCCGGGCAGGCCGAGTCCAGGAGAGAGGAGACGAGCGGGAACGGAAAGCGAAGTTTCGGCGAAACGAAGCAATCGCTGGACAATCAGACCAGTGCACGGTGCTCATGCACTCGACCCAAAAAGCTCGAATCGCATTTCAGGTTGAAACATGAACCAGCATGTCATGGAAGAAGTTGAAGAAGGGAAACACGACCCACACGTGACAGCAGCAAACGACTTAAGAGTCTCTGAGGTCTCTGCGTGTTGCCAGAAGATCCTGGCACAAGCTGCAAATGACATCCCACATGCAATACCAATCCATGAAGCCCTTCGGTGCGGCAAAATGCTGGGTATCTGGGATATGCGCCCGCAGCGTTGTTGGCCGAGGCCGCCGGCGTCGCCTGAAGCGAAGTCTCCGTGGCACCGTCGCCGCTCGCAGCCATCCGATTTGCATCAGAATAGCCTCAGATCCGCACGACCCGCTAGCGACCCCTGCACACAGCAAGCCGTCCAGATGTTGCATCTCTTGGCGTCACACCAGCAAGGCTGTTGACGCAGGGTGCTTGGGTCATGCGCACGGTGCTCTCGGTGGGACTGTCGGCGCTCCCGTTTGTCCAAGTCGCATCGTGCCCTCAGGCTGAGAAAGCTCCGCACCGCCATCTGCCAAACTCGAACACTTCGTCTGCGGAGTTTCTGGGGTGTAGGCCGGAAAAGCACTGGACGGAGAACGCCTCCGTCGTCTTATCAGAGCAGCCTTAAGCTGGACATTCGCAACGTTGACCCAACCCACCACGTGCTACTCAGATGCCGCCTTTCATTTCTCAGGTGCGGGCCAGTAAGGCTGTTGGCAAAGACTGCCCCTGAAGTCTGAAGCATGGTCTCCATGCCACTGTTGGCACCGGCGGCTCTGCGATTCGCATCATAGCGACCTCGAGCTGAAGAAGCTGCAGGAAACTGGTGACACGTCGAAGCCACGGACCAAGTCGATTCTTGAGGGGCGTGCCGCCAAGGCTGCTGGTGGCGGACGCCTCCGTTGTTTGCAAGGTGGTCTGCGAGCCATCGTCGGCGCTTGCAGCTGTCCGATTCACATCGGAGCAGCCTCAAGCTGAAGAAGCTGGACGAAGCTGGTGACACAGCAAGCCGCCTACCCAGCCAATGCTGACTTTTTGAGACACGCGCCCGCAGCATTGTTGTCCGTGGCACCGTCGCCGCTCGCAGCCATCCGATTTGCATCAGAATAGCCTCAAGCTCCATATGACCCGCTAGCGACCCCTGCAGACAGCAAGCCGTCCGGATGTTGCATCTCTTGGCGTCACACCAGCAAGGCTGTTGACGCAGGGTGCTTGGGTCATGTGCACGGTGCTCTCGGTGGGACTGTCGGCGCTCCCGTTTGTCCAAGTCGCATCGTGCCCTCAGGCTGAGAAAGCTCCGCACCGCCATCTGCCAAACTCGAACACTTCGTCTGCGGAGTTTCTGGGGTGCAGGCCGGAAAAGCACTGGACGGAGAACGCCTCCGTCGTCTTATCAGAGCAGCCTTAAGCTGGACATTCGCAACGTTGACCCAACCCACCACGTGCTACTCAGATGCCGCCTTTCATTTCTCAGGTGCGGGCCAGTAAGGCTGTTGGCAAAGACTGCCCCTGAAGTCTGAAGCATGGTCTCCATGCCACTGTTGGGACCGGCGGCTGTGCGATTCGCATCATAGCGACCTCGAGCTGAAGAAGCTGCAGGAAACTGGTGACACGTCGAAGCCACGGACCAAGTCGATTCTTGAGGGGCGTGCCGCCAAGGCTGCTGGTGGCGGACGCCTCCGTTGTTTGCAAGGTGGTCTGCGAGCCATCGTCGGCGCTTGCAGCTGTCCGATTCACATCGGAGCAGCCTCAAGCTGAAGAAGCTGGACGAAGCTGGTGACACAGCAAGCCGCCTACCCAGCCAATGCTGACTTTTTGAGACACGCGCCCGCAGCATTGTTGTCCGTGGCACCGTCGCCGCTCGCAGCCATCCGATTTGCATCAGAATAGCCTCAAGCTCCATATGACCCGCTAGCGACCCCTGCAGACAGCAAGCCGTCCGGATGTTGCATCTCTTGGCATCACACCAGCAAGGCTGTTGACGCAGGGTGCTTGGGTCATGTGCACGGTGCTCTCGGTGGGACTGTCGGCGCTCCCGTTTGTCCGAGTCGCATCGTGCCCTCAGGCCGAGAAAGCCACGCACCGCCATCTGCCAAACTCGAACACTTCGTCTGCGGAGTTTCTGGGGTGCAGGCCGGCCGCGCCGTTGACTCGGTGCCGCGGTGTCTCTGTGGTATCGTCGGCGCTGACTGTTGTCCGATTTGCGCCAGAGTGGCCTGAAGTTCATCTCAGCTACTGCTCAAACGTTCGCGCGGGTACCATGCAATGGCAAATGCTGAACTTCTAGGCTTTCAACCGGAAGCCCCGCTGATGCCTGCCGCCTCCATGACCTGCGGCGTCTGAGATCGGCGTCTCAAACAACATGCCCGTGATGCTGTATGATGACATGGTAGTCGGCAGCATGTTCTGGCGATCGCGAAGAGATTCCACGCATGCCATGTACCACCAGTAGCCTGGGAACTACTGCCTTCGGCCGGTGGGTCCCAGGCCGCAGGTCTGCAAGTCCAGAAGGAGAGCTGAGCCGATGAGCCGATGAGCCGATGAGCCGATGAGCAGATGAGCAGAGCATGGCCGCTTCGTGGAGCTCTGGACCCGCAGTCGTAGTGCCGAGCAGGTCATCGCAGGTCCAACCTGAGCTACACGAAGTCCTGGGACGCGGTCTCTGGTTGGTCAGGGAACTTGCCGATGTACAGTGACCTGTCGCAGATGAGCACCAGGGTGTTGTTCGCCATGGTTCGCCATCATCCGGGCATCTCCACCTCGCAGCATAGAAACCGCAGCAAATTTAGAAGACTTCGTGGCATAACTTTGGCCAAAATGCGCTGTGCATGGCTGTGCCTCGGTCTTGGCCTTGCGTCGCATAGGCGATCGCACAGAAGGTCGAAGGCAGTAGGCCCCGCCCGTCGCACCCCAGACAAGGGTCTCTGCATCCGGATTCGGGGCATCCGCAACTCCGCATGTTGGGGCTTGAAACTGGCAGTCCTCGACCTGATCGGCCAAAGAAGACGGAAGAAGTCTCCCTCTAAGTCTCTCCCTCTCTCTCTGTCTCGGCCTGCCGGCAGATCACGCCACAGCGCAGGCAGGCTCGCCCCAGGAGGCGTTTCCCACAAGGCCGACAGAAGAGGTGGCCGCACGGCTGCAGCCTTGCTCGCCGATGGCTGCCATCCCGGCACACCGGGCAGCGACTCGGTGGCCGAACCCGGGGCGACACAGAGAAGTCCGAGGCACCTGGGTTGAGTCTGAGAGCCGACACAGAGAGTGCTTGCTGCAGGTGCTACAGGGGCACGCCCAGTCTGAGGCCTATTTTGAGTCTGCCTTCGAGAGTCGTAGCCCTGTGCTTGCTGCTGTACAGTGCGGAGGCCAGAGGGCGATTCTGAGGCGGCAGAGACGCTGCCACGCAGGCGATTATATATAGCGGACTCAGCCCCCTTTGGAGGATGAGTCAAAAGTCACGGAAAGGTTGTCGGCTTGCAAGGGAGGCTTCTTCACCAGGTCTTCTCGTCGAACAGCTCGTCAAGCTCCGAAGCAGTCTTCGAAGCGGACGCCGCAGCAGAGGAGCTCGTGGCGGAGGCCTGGCCACGCTTAGTGCCAGAGCGGCGCCAGAAGCTGACGGTGTTGCGAAGCTGGCTCCACGAGTGTTGGGAGCGTGTGTAGAGTTGGTCTTTCAACTCCTGTAGCAAGCTGGGCTTGTACGTCTCGGTACTCAGGCACTGATCCGGTTCGTAGTGGTGGGCCCAGGTGTGGATGGCCAGTCCGAGCCTCAAAGCGGCGTGGTAGCTGCGGGTGAGGACCACACAGGGGAGCTCGATCAGCTGCTCCTCCTCATTGAACATGGTGGAGCGGTAGACGCGGAGGCGTCCTTTGAGTGCGCAGGCCTTCTCGGCTGGGTCCGTGGAGAGGCTAGAACTCCCGACCTTCACACGCTCCGCAGTGGACAACAGGTGTACAACCCCCAGGCTCTGCACCCGTCCCGGTGTGGGATTGTGGAGTCCCAGCCGCCGGATGAGCCTCAGGGTGATCTCGGCCAGCACGGTTTCGACGCCTGGGAGTTGGCGGCCCATCCAATGAGCCAGGTCGGTACGCACGGCACTCCAGTACTCCCTGGCTCGGAGCTCACTGGGTTTGCGTAAGGCTTCCTGCACAGCAGAGCTCACCGACTCGCTCTGCACGAAGAACTGCAGTGGCGTCCGGGAAGGAGTAGTGCCACTGGCCTGCAGGCTTTGGCAGAGGCTTCAAGACGATTCCCTGAGCACAGACAGCTAGGTGGTTCGTTCAGCCGCAGGCTTCTTCTTCGTCACTTTTGGCCCACTGAACTCTTTGCACGGTTGTGGTGCTGGGAGCCCAGCAGGGAGACAGAGCTGCTCGTCCTTCAAGAGCAGCTGTATACAGCTGCAGGGTGTCGCCGGGGGAATTCGAAGGTGCTGCTCCAAGTACTGTCGTACAGTGTATCTCGAGGTGGCTCGTTCACATGCAGGTACTTGGAAGTGACGTTTGTGTTCACGATGATACGCTTCCATGGCTCCTTGCAGGAATTGATCCAACACAACCGTCAGCATCCCTCCTGTGAGTGACCGACGCTGATCGCCTTCCCTTTGGGGCGGTAGGTCACAGATAAAAAAGACGTGGTAAAGGGCCAAAACTTCTTGTTGGCTCTCTGTGTCCATGTCTACCAAGCGGAAGCCGATGGCCTCCTCCGCCCGCTCCTCCTCTGCTCCAGTCTCCAGCTCCAGAGCCATATAAGGATCTACGTCCGCACGGCCCCCCAAGTGGCGGTGTAAGACTTCCCGGATCTGGGGTGCTCCAGGACTGCCTCCACTGCTCGTCGAGCCCACTGACTTCCGGAAGCGACTCGTAGGCTCCGGGGTCAAGCATGTGTCCGCTTGTGTTGTCTCCATGAGATTCCGCTTTTGTCGTGGCGGAGTAAACAGCACTGGGCATCGCTGCTACCTCCATCTGAGTGGGTATGTCCAAGCTGACCGGGTTCTGTGTCACGTCCATGGCCACACCAGCTACACCAAGCTTCCTGAACCTTGAAGCCCAACTGCACGGTCGGCATAGCTTCAAGCAAAGTCTGCAGCAAAGAACATGAATAGCTTACGAGGCACGGCGGAGCTCCGAGGCAGCGGGAGTTCCTGTCTGCTGCGAGGGGCCCGTCGTGCGCACGCCGCACGCGCGGCGCTGGCGTGCAGCAGGGGCGTCCCAAGCGACACGCAGTCGCAGCGCGTAGGCCCAGGCGCCGAACCTCCGCCGCTCCACGGGAACCGGCCTGGTGGAGCCGTGCGCACGCGTTTAACAGAGAGAGACCTCGGTCTCGGCTCTGAGGCCTCGGCTTCGTTTCGCAGGTCCTTGGCCAGGGACCGTCGCTGGGAAGCGCTGGACCTGGCTCCATCCGCCAGCCCAAAGACTCGCCGTGCCACCACTCCTCACAAAGTCAAGTGCAGTGTCCAGAAATCCCGAGCCCCGCTCAGGCTCATCTTTCATCCGCGGCACCACGGTGACAAAGCCCATCTGCTCCACTCGTGCAGCGAACTCTCGTAGCAGGGCATCACCTCTGACAAAGAAAGCGCTGAGTCGGTGTAGGCTGGGCTGCAGCTTTTTGACGCTTGCGCATAGGCCCCGACCAGCATCCCGGCCAAGCCCGTAGAGATCTCCAGTACTCCAGTCAACATGCCTGGCCGGGAACTTTCCCCGACCTAACACCCTCCCTGAGCAATCATCTTATCATCTGAAACCTGAAAATGGCGGGGACGATGGGTACAGCATTGGTGCAGCCTACGGCTTTAGGCTTTGCAGATGCCGTATTGCACATGGAATGCTGACCGTTGCACTGCGTCAGGCTTGCAGATCTGAGGGAAATGTCGTGCTTCCCGCAACACAGTGCCAAGGAGGCTCCACGCATCCTGGCCTCTTCCCGGCAGCAGCGGCATTCAAACAGTTCTCTTCAAGCTCCAAGGCCAGCGTCTGGGCAGTCTTGCGTGCCTGCGCCAGCACGTCCACTTTGGGAGACCGAGACACCTGCGATTCTACGGCTGAAATCAGCAACGATCACACTTTTCTTCTATCCGACCCACTATCTGACTCCTTCTTCGTCAGAGCATAAGGGTCGTGTCAGGCTCTATCTGACGCTCTTCCTCTCTCTCTCTCTCTCTCTCTCTCTCTCTCTCTCTCTGTGTCTCTCTCTCTCTCTCTCTCTCTCTCTCGGGCATAGGGGTCGATCAGGACCCCCGGGCATCTTGCCCACCCGACATGTTTTCGGGATTTTGGGGGGTGAAAGTCGAATGTATCCCCCGGTGAGGGCTAAAGCTATACAAATCTACGATAACGGTTTTACCGGGGTCGTACATTCTCGACTGACGCCGCTTTTACTTGAAGAAGACGGTACATGGTTAGACTACAAATACCGAAATTACGACATCTCGGGGTCCCAAGCGTTGTTTCCATCCGCTGTTGCTATGCATGACAGCGAATTTGCGAGTGGCCAGTTTTGATCCCCCTCTCTCTCTCTCTCTCTCTCTCTCTCTCTCTCTCTCTCTCTCTTGCTTGCACGCAGCCGAAGAGGAAGTGGTCTCTCTCTCTCTCTCTCTCTCTCCTATGTTGCCTGGCCGTTGCGCCTGGCCTCGCTGTGCCTCCTTGAGCTCCGTCTTTCCGCTGTTGCAAGGCCTGCGGGCAAAAAACACAAAAACACATGACGTCCAAAATGGTCCTCGAAGCGGCATGCAGCGGTGTTTGAGACCGGTGGATCCGACCCTCGATTGGTTTGGTGACACCAAACATTGAGGGCATAATACGCAAGAAGATGAAGAAGATACAAACTCAAGCGGAATTCTCTTGAAGGACAGCTCTCCGTCGCCAAGCCATGATGGACTCTTCCCGCCTGAGTCGCTCAGTTCCTGGTCGCCCTGGCGGGGTGCCGGAGTGAACGCAACGGCGAAGTGGGAACCTCTGGCAAAGGGAAACGGGCAAAGCAGCGGTGGCCGCAATGAAGGATTCAGCCGCTCAGGCGGGCGCTCCTGGGCTGGAAGTCGAAGCCTGTGGCCTCAGCAGCAGATGCGCCGCACTGCAAGAAAAGCCGCAGCTTAGCCCCGGCTTAGGCTGGGGCCCATGAATTTCCCCACTCGGGTCCTTCAAAACACGACAATGCAGCGACGCAGCTGCGGTCTGCGGAAAGCTCCGCACCTGCGCGAAGCACCCGACGGGGTGAGGGAGCCGACGGAGGCGACGGAGGCGAGGACGGCACAGGGCTCACAGGGCTTGTTGGCGCTTGGCCTGGCTTTCAACTGCAGGCTCACTGCACCACAACTCAAGTCTGTGCCGAGCTGCTTTCGCCGAGCAAGTGGAGGCACCGCTTGGCCTTGACAGAAAGTCTCAGATCTATCTTGACCTCAACCCCTGCACCTGAGGCTGCAGCGAGCGTTGTCTGTCTACCGAGCATGGATTCACCTGGCATTCTGCGTCTGAGCCATTGCCTGTCCTTCCTGTTCTTCGAGTGACTACGTGCCACAGGGACCTCGCTGCACAAAGGAGATGCGCTACGTTGACCCCACCTTGTCCGGCTGCGGCAGGAGCAAAGGGCATAGGCGGCACAGTGCCATCCGAAGGGCACTCTGCCGAGAGCGCCTCTGGGAGCTTCGGGAGAGCAAGGCTCTGGCGGAGCTCGGCCCATTCAGAGCTCGGCCCTTCGCTCTGGCCGAGAGGCCGCGCTTTGTGGCAAAGCGCTGTTTCCGTTTCCGCCGTGGCAGGTTTCTCCGGAACAGGGGCCGGTGGAGCCTGGGGCGCACGCGCTGTCACGGCCTTCGGAGGCAAGGTAACCATGCTTTCTGCTGCTGCGTTCTCGGCTCTGGATGTTCCTGTCTTCGCCATGAACTCAGCATCGGGAAGGCCGGCTAGCCGCCTCAGCGCCTTCATCTCGCTCTCTGTCATCCCACGCCTCTCCGCCACGAAGACGCTGCGGCAGATGCCCTGCACAGACGCAATCTCCTGGGCGCCGTCCTCCACCAAGCACGCTTCCTCCACCGCCAGGGACTCTCGAGACATCAAGCTGCGGATGAGATTCGCCTTGGACTCACGCAGCTCGCAGTCGGAGCTGCCTTCCAGCGGCGATGGCTCCGGGTTGGCACGATCGAAGTCGGACTCGCCGTAGAATTGGCCGAGCATCCCAAAGACCTGCTCGAAATGCTGCAGCAACCCTTCGTGCTCCAGGAGGTACCTGCAGGCCCCCACGTTGCCCTTCGTGATGATGCTCAACCGCACGCCGGACGCCTTCAAACTGGAGAAGAAGCTGCCCAGCTGACCCACCCTCTCGGGTCCTGTCATGCTCCGTGCTAGCTCAGACACCTACAGCAGGACCAAACGAATGCGTGTGCGGGAAGTAGCGACAAGAAGCTCGCGCTTCGATTGAAGTTACACATTCCCAGAGACTCGGTTATTGAAAAAAGTCAATCCCCATATTGTTTTGAACGCAAAATCAATGTCCTATATTGATATTGCGCAACAATCAATAATATGCCTGTGATCATATCAATGTTGTATTGAAATTGTAACATGCATCATATTGAAACATATGCTTCTCTTTATTGAAATAGATATTGATTTTTGTTGAGAGCCCAGCCCCTCGGACCCTGCCAGAATCTGCATTCTTGGGGGACGTGGAAAATGGACGCGTCCATTTTCGAGGGTCCTCAACATAGCTACTGCCCCGATCGGTGTATGTAGCTTGATGTATTGGGGGGGGGTCGATGGTTTCAGGGAAGATACTACGGCAGGCCATGGCAGGCCACGACACAACAAGTAAATGGACAAAAACATCTGTGGCGTGTTTCATGTGGTTCTGGAGTGTCATGATGTATCTATGTCATAATTCCTATGCAGCACATGGTCGGACAGTTCGGCGACCCTCTTTTTTTCGTCTCCCCAGCCGGACTTTCTTCTGCTCCGCTCGCCCAGCAGCTGTCGCCTCGCGGCACAGGGGTAGGACTTGAGGGATACAAGATGGTACAAGGCAAGGGTTCAGGATTTAGGGATAGGAGGGTTTGCCTTATGTTGATTGTTTTGTTGGCCTGGCCTTCGGCACCGCATGCCAGCTCGCCCCTCACGCCACGATCCTCAGGATAGGCACTTTAATTGAGGTTGTCAAAAGGGCTTAGGTTGCACGAGTCCGCGAAGTAGCGAAACCTTATCTTTTCAAACCCTAGGCCCAGAACCACGATGTGCTGATTCAGGCTCGCAGGTGTGGCCACTGCATCGATCCGGATGCACAGCGAAGCTTCTCAGCAGCGGAAGCATCCTTTGGGAAGACCGCCGCCAGCTCCGCAAGCACAGACTTACCGAAGTTCTTATTCGAGACCGCGGCGAAGCTCACGTCGAAGAACTCGGCCGCCTGGCAACTGATGACATCCCATCTCAGCGGAGAGGCCCCCGCTCCAACGGAGATCATCCCGTGGTCGCTCTGCACTCTGGGAACACTTCCCTAGGATCCGGTGCTGTCTCCTGCATTCTGCTGCGAGTGTTCCTGGGGATTCTTAGGTGATGCTTGCAAACACGGGAAAATGGACAAACTCCCCGTGGGGGTCCCCGTTCCCTCGACCACACCGTGCTCCCTGGGACGTGGGACCAAGGAATTGTCCATTATCGGCTTTTCTCTGCGCTCTGGGAACACTTCCTTAGGATCTGGTGTTGACTCCTGCATTCTCCTGCGAGTGTTCCTTGGGATTCTTGGGTGATGCTTGGAACACTCTGGAACACAGGGCAAACACGGGAAAATGGACAAACTCCCCGTGGTGGGGTCCCCGTTCCCTCGACCACACCGTGCTCCCCGGGACGTGGGACCAAGGAATTGTCCATCTGCACTCTGGGGACACTTCCCTAGAAAACGGTGCTGTCTCCTGCATTCTGCTGCGAGTGTTCCTTGGGATTCTTGGGCGATGCTTGCAAACACGGGAAAATGGACAAACTCCCCGTGGGGGGTCCCCGTTCCCTCGACCACACCGTGGTTTCCGGGACGTGGGACCAAGGAATTGTCCATTATCCCGCTTTTCTCTGCACTCTGGGAACACTTCCCTAGAAAACGGTGCTGTCTCCTGCATTCTGCTGCGAGTGTTCCTTGGGATTCTTGGTGCACACTGGGAACACTTCCCTAGGATCCGGTGCTGTCGCCTGCATTCTGCTGCGACTGTTCCTGGGGATTCTTAGGTGATGCTTGCAAACACGGGAAAATGGACAAACTCCCCGCGGGGGTCCCCGTTCCCTCGACCACACCGGATGTGGGACCAAGGAATTGTCCATTATCCGGCTTTTCTCTGCACTCTGGGAACACTTCCCTAGGATCCGATGCTGTCTCGTCTGCGAGTGTTCCTGGGGATTCCTAGGTGATGCTTGCAAACACGGGGAAATGGACAAACTCCCCGTGGAGGGTCCCCGTTCCCTCGACCACACCGTGCTCCCCGGGACGTGGGACCAAGGAATTGTGCATTATCCGGCTTTCCACTTGCGGTATGTTTCTGGGAGACTGCAGCTGGGCTTGGGCGATGAGTGGGAAACCTGTGGGCGTGACGTCAAGTTGCACTTCTATGGGCGACCCGGATAGACAAACCCACAGTCAGCAGCCCACTGGTCTGCCTGGAAACAACACAAGAAAAGCCGCAGCAGGAGTTCCAACGCAATCCACATCTTCGCCCGCCTTCCTGGAGTAAAATGAAGCAAGAGCGGTGCCAGTGCCGCCCGTGCTCCAGGTGTATGTCCCTGAGCGGCACAGGACTAGTGACTAGATGTCGGCCGGCTTAACACACCAAAGCCAAAGTTGCCTGCAACCAAGTTACAGTCATGGCGCCCCGGCTTTCCATAATTGCGGTATGTCACAGACCATGGCATTCCGGAGTCGCACACTTAAGTCGTTGGTGATTTGTTAATTTTTTTTGGCGGGGTCCTGAGTTCCTTCGGGCTTTAGGGCTCAGGCGCCGGTTCCGAGGAGGGAGGAGGAGGGGTTGCGGCGGTAGGTCCGTTAGGTTTGCCTGGAGTGACACATGCGGACACAATCACACATGACAGTACCTGACCCAAAGGCGGACGGGGCAAGTGAATGCAACAGCGAAGCGACGTCGACGCCCCATCCCTATAATATATTATATATAAATATACGCCATCGCATGCCGAAACACACACCTACCCACACGGTACGTGTGTATGCATCTATGTGTATAGATATATACTATACGTGTGTGTGTGTACATGCCCACATGAGTGCATGCATTTTGCATGTGTATATAGCATCCTACAACCCCAGACATGTAAATGGACAAAACCACCCTGGGACGTACTCCTGTCCTTTTCGTTCCCTTGGGGGCATCATATGATACACGGCAACCCGGAAAATGGACAGGATAATTGGGCACAAGGGGGCGCCACCAAGCCCTGCCCATTTAATAGTGTGGGGGGATGGACTGGCATGGGGCCGAGGGCAAGCTTACCGTAGTCCCGCATAGTCTGAATCATCATCTGCAGCTGCTGCGAGCATGGGCTAATTCCATTCATGCTTGCCGCATCTGTTAAGTCTTTTTGTAGATTTCACGTATCGCCCGGGCCGCTTTCCTTGCTGCTAGCACTCCAGAATGGGCTCGGTGTGCTGCTGCTGCTGCTCTGCTTCTCGTGGCGGTGATGAAGAGAACTATATGGAAGTGCAGACTCCCTCGAGCAGGCAGCTGACTCCAGAGAGCACCCAAGACGTCGGTGTGCGATGTGACGGTTTGTGCAGCAATCACTCGCGACCCTGCATCCGTCTTTGCATTGCTCATGAAAATCACTGGTGCGAAACTTGTGCAGCTGAGTGGTACCGGCTGAACCGCAGCTACTAAGTCAGTGTACAGCTCGGCAGGTTTACTCTTCCAACCAGTGAAGCACAAGCACAAAAGAGCGGATTAAGGAACTGTCTGCCTCCAATTGCCAATCGAGTGCAAGTGATGTCAAAGTGACCAGCTCAGCTCTGATTTTGCATAAGTTTTCCATGCCGCAGCATTAATTTTCAGCAGCTTCTAGGTCCCCAGGTTCTTGATCTAGCTGCAGGGCCATGGTGAAGAAGGCTGCTGTGCCGAGGGGTGGTGCTCGCAACTCACCCAAAGCTCGGGTGGAGACAGAACGGCTTGCTGATGCTTTGAAGAATCATGTGGATGAGGTCGGGGCGGTGAATGCATTTAACTTCCACGAGTACGAGTCCGCTTGGTCTTCGTGTGCAATCAGGTTCCAGTCCCTGGCGAAGTTGGTGCCTTTCCTCATGGCCATTCTAAGTGCTTGTCCGGCTGCCAACTTGTCCTACTCATCCTACTCCCAGCTCAAGGAGGTTTTCATGAACGTGTTCACCAGCATCCCCGCTTGTAGGCCGAAGTCCGGACCTTTGAGTACTGTGGCAGGGGATGTGGCTGACAGGACCATCGTCGTCTTAAACCATGTTCGGCGACTTTGTTTGGGAGGCTCAAGCGAGAAGGAGTGGCGAAAGTGCGAAGAAGCACTGTGCGGCCTGGGTGACAAGCTAGCCCAGCTAAGGAGCTTCGTACTCGTGTTCGCCAAGCTGGTGGTGCAGAGCCCTCAGAAGCTGCAGGCCCGGAGAGCGACATCTATGGCTTGCAGAAGTACCAGGACGTTCCGCTTTCTCAAGATGCCGACGGTCTTCCTCTGTGGTCCTTCCTCAAGGGCGGGAAGTCGGGAGAAGGAGACGAAGAAGAAAAGGACGATTCTGATGGCGATGTCGAAGCCTTGGCAGCCAAAGCCGCAAGCATGAAGAGACCAGCGGGTAAATCCGTGCCTGAGGAACCTGCTGCTAGCAAGCCTAAGGTCATGAAGAAGCCCAGTGCTGGAAGCTTGAAGAAGACGCCCTTGAGCTTGGAGACAGTCCTGAATGTCGCCCTCTTGTCTCTCAAAGGCCCCTTCAAGGAAAAGAGCTACATTTTGAGCCCCGTGAAGGAGACGACTTGGAGTAGCCGATGACCGGTGATGCTACACAGACTCTTCCGAAGGAGGGCGAGAAAAACTGAAGACATCCGGAATGCAAGGCGTTTTTTCATGTGATACCACATGAAGTCTTATGATATCCCATGAAGCTTCATGAGCAGTCATGATCACCCGTGAATACTCATGAATGTTCATGAGCACCCGTGAACACATGTGATTTCATATGAAGGTTCATGAAGGCTGATCTGTGTGGGGCCAGAACCTGACCAGGACCCGTGGGACAGAGGGCAGGTATGGGGCCTGGTCGGGGCCTGGCCCTACAAAAAAAAAGCGCCTAGGACCGGACAGGACCTGTGCTGGGGCCTAGTCC